GAGTCGTGTAGCGCTGGTTGCGGGGTTCCGGCTGCTCTTCCCCCATCGCCCGCAGAGCAACGCGGGCATCCCTGTCCGCCTGTCCTGCAGGGATGCATCCCTGTTCCGACAGGTGCATCTCTTGTCGGGACGGTTCTTGTCACCTGGCATTGCGGGATCCCGACGGAGGAGGCATGCTTAGCTTGGGAACTGTACCCGTGAATTTTGGGGTTGTGTTCTCGTGTTCTGCAGGATGTTCCTGAGGGACTTTCCCACTCCCCCCCCCCCCCCCACTTTTTTTTTTTTTTTTTTTTTTTTTTTTTTTTTTTTTTTTTGGAATGGTTTTAGTTTTGTTCTAGTTTAAAATAGAAATTAAATGATAACATATATTTGCATGTGTGAAATAAATGTCAGAGGGTATTTTTGTCCAACAATGGCTGGGGTGGGCTTGGAGCCTTGTCCCATGGAAGTGTAGGAGCAATATAATTTTTGTTAAATATGTGAGATGCAAAGCAAAATAAGTCGGGTGGGGCATTAATACCTTTAATATTTGTTAGTCAAAATCCTGAATCCTTCTTCACCAGTATAAATTTCTTTCATTTTATGTGAAAGATGCTGTGGATACTTCACTCACTAGAGAGAAATGGCATCAGGTGTTTAAGAGTAGCTGTAATAAAAGAGAACTAATGGCTCGCCATGGAATCCCTGCTGAGCATTTATTTGTCTTCCCTTTTTAGGAAAGATTAGTGAATTTCTCCTTTAATACCCCAAACTCTTACTCAGAAATTGCATGAGAGAACATAAAATTAATTTTTATTTTAGGTCAGTTCATGGTTGAAGATCTCCTCAAGGAGAAATGAAACACTTCTTTTTAAGAAGATGCAATTGCTTGAAACCTGTGTTATTAAATCATACGCATCAGCAATTCCCATAGTAAAAAACCACAGAGGTTACCTGTGCATCATTTCAAATACTTACGTAGTAAAGTGAAACCTGAAGGTGACTTTGGAATACTGATGTGATCCCAATATATTTTACATTTTTTGTTTGCTTAGTAGGTTTTACTCGGGACTGACAACATACTTTTTTTTTAGTGTTTCATTTCTCCATTTATAAAGTGAAAAATAAGTATTTTATTTATATTAGAACAGCAACCCTCATTGTGTGCTGGAAATTACAGTATTGGTGGAGAATTACAGCATTGGATGTATAATAAAAATTTTTCCTCTCAAGCAATCTGTTGCAATCTGATAATAACAGTTGTATCATAACTTACGAGATGTGTCATCTCACTGACGTAACTTACCCTAGGTGTGAAGGACACCTCACCATTGTCTAGAATGCAGTACAAAACAGTTTTTGCAACATGCTACAAGTTAAAAATCTGTATTTAAGTAAAATCTTACCTGATTATTTATACTGGGTCACTGCTTATTGTTTCAGAGTATCTTATTAGTTGATAGAAGATGGGAATTGGAAAGAAAATGCTTATTGTTGCTTGCAAGTATCCTGCTTTGAGAGAACAATTATTGTCATTCCCACCCAGACAACTGGGGTTTATAAACTTTGTAGGATTGGGTAATATCTTACTGCTTAGTTCCAGCATAGTTTGAGTAAGAATAAAGACTGGCTTGCCTTCATCACCAAAATATCTCAAGAAAATATTTTCAGTAAGTTTCCACACAGAATATTTTAGTGTTGTATTAAATTTGGAAAGTCCTTGTTCAGCTCTTAAAATTCAGCGTGCTCCACTTAACTATTAAGAACTGAAATTGAGCCTGATGTTGTAATCATTGTACATCTACTTGGAATTTAGAATATATTGTTTGTAGCCAGTTGCCAGTGAAAAATGAAAATTCCTCAGCAGTCATTGGAGTTAGGCACTGTTGGGTATTAGTAAAACTTAAAAGCTATTCCCTTAGTTAAAATTTCACATTGTATTAAGCCTCTAATCATAATCATGATTTTAAAGAACCCTTAAGAGCTGATCAAGAGATCATTGAACAAGTAATTATTTAGAAAAGCACTAGAGTATTTTAAGCCATTCCTCCTACACTTGAATGTTTCCCCTTTTCTAATGATACTTTAGCATTTTTACAATGATAGCTGGATTTTAGTTGTGGAAAGCAAGGAGTTAGGAAAAGTTCATTTCTGATTTGGATCACATCATTCCCTTCTAATTTCAGAATGCAATTATTCAAAATGCCCACTAGTTTTTGGGTGGATGAGAGAACTTTCTGTCTGTCACTTTCAGATGCATGTATTGTGGTGTGCATTCTTCAGCAAGTACCAGTAGTATAAGTAGAAAAGTGTTATGGTTATTGTTAAAAAGCCTATTCAATGACATGCAGATAACTTTGTCACAAGGAAACACAGACATTGCAGGAAATCCTAAAATCTTTGCTTCTGTCTTTAGACATTCTTTATCACTTTGAAATTAAGTAAGGGGTGCAAGACTGGATCTGTTCAGCAGCAGTTTTTCTGGCAAGGATAACTGTACGTTAAATATCTTCAGGTGCACAACTTGAAAATAACATGATGCTATTAATTTGTTACCATCTCATAGGATATAACAGTGTGATAGGTTATTTGATGGATACAGCTGTCATGTTTTCATTCCAGTAAAAATCCACAGGGCTCATTCTAGAATACAAGTAGCTTTAGGAACAGCATAGGCAGGATAAATACACAGATTCTCACACTGGATGTTTCTATATCAACAATCAAAGAGTTTGGTTTTACTGTATCCTAACACACGAAGCCAAATGAAGTTATTTTACTTGGCTGAAGCTTCTAGGCCAAACAGTGTAATTTACAGCACACATATCTGTATAACTATATTATACTGGCAATGCACACCCGCAGCATGGAGTCATATTTGCTCTGAAGAAACAATTCTGGTAATTTAGGCCATCAAATGAGCAGAAAAGGAAGAATAAAATGTGCACGTGTTTTTTTAACTCTGTTGGTGCTAAGTCTCGTAATTCATGGCAAGCAATGAGGGACAGGGTAAGCTGTTCCCAGTGCATCAAAAAGAAAGCCTCTATTGGTTCCTGCTGATTTTGGGGGAAGCTACACCATGATCCAGTCAGGTTGCCAGTCAGGGCGTATTTTGGAGCAGAAGGGCCTACAGGCTGTGCATAATCAGAGAGAACTCAGTCTTTCTGGGCGTACAAAGGAAGTGAGCAACAAATGTGAGGTTTACAATCTCCTCTCTTTTCAAGCCCTCTGAGTGTTCAAAACAGGCCATTTAATGTAGGCAAACCAGAGTTTATTTTCAGCATTTTGTTTTTTGCAGGAAAGTATGCGTGCTTATGCAGCAAATGTCTACACGTCTGTTGTAGAAGAGCTAATGAAAGGAAAGCAGCGCAAATTTATTGCTGTGGAGCAGGAATTCTTTCGACTTTGGTGGGATGCGGTAGCCACAGATACACACAAGCAGCAGGTAAGTTGTACTAGAGCCATGCTTCCTGCTAACAGAGAATCTGTGCCCTTTTTCAGGAGACAAGGAAGGGCAAAGTACTTCCCCATTTGCTTTTTAACCAGATCTTGTGTAAGCTGTCTCTGAGTCTGGTACTTCTTGTGAAAGAACCTTAACTCTAAAGGCAGTTGCAAGAGGTTAAAACCCCAGCTGTAGATTAGAGCGGTAGGAGGTAGCCACCTTTGCACTGAAGGCTCTTTAAACTTTACAGTTCTTGTTTCATTGGTGACTGACTGACTTGGGGGCATGCTAGTGTAAGATGTGGGTGATTCTGAAAGAGACTGTACCGATACCTGTTAAACATCTGAAGCCTAACACTGCTCGCAGGAAGGAACTTTTTTTCTTTCCAGTTAAGTACTGCTCAAAAACCTGCTGTTCATAAACAAGGATGATGCAGCAAAGAGGTGACTGTAGATTCAACAATGATGTTTTTTTCCTGGTAAAGACATTGTGAAGTTTTATTTGGCACTTCTTTCCTCTGGCATGAAACAAACATGCTGAAATCAAAGTCTGAGCCAGTAGCCTAACAGCTGGTTGTGCATTGCATTGCAGTGTAAGATGTTTAAGTTTTGGACCCTAAAACCAGAAGGAAAACAGGTGCAGCTTCCCATAGGTACTCACTTGGAACTCCATGGTCTGTTTTGTTACCAGGATCCAGCCAACAGTAGTGTATTACTCGTTGTACTTTACATTTCACTTTAAACAGTGCTAGATGTTTAAAGTATGATGCAGAAATAAGAAACCTCTTGTCTGTTTGGTTTTTGGGCTTTTTTTAACCTTCACTAAATTCTGAATCCATAACACGTGTACAACTGATCTTTGTATGAGAGATTTCACTGTGTATAGACAGTTCACTGTTATTGTGTGGGCTCTTCGCCCATACTTGCCTGCCGCAGGACAATTTTCTTGTCTGTTTTTAATTAGAGAACTGTACTGTAAGTCTGGGGTTAGGGAAATTAAAGAAAATAGCATAGGAACTCCTTTGTGCAGGGACAGAAAAGTACTCTTAACTTTCTAATGTAAGTTCATCTTATTTCAAGTATGTTATGCTGCTATAACCTACATATAAATGCCCAACTCTCTAATATCTATTCTTGCTGTTATGTGGGATTCAGAAGAATAAATGTGTCACATTTGACTTCAGTTGTGCAAAACTAGTACATATGAGTCAGCCTTTAATTTTCTAGCCTAATTACTGATAATTGTTGCTTTATGCATTTTTATTCAGTTCTCAAGTTACTTTATAGTTGATTCTCTGAAAATTAAAGTTATTAAAACCAAATTCCTCTTATACCTGTGTGTGTGTCAAACATTGAATCTTTAATAATATTTAAGAGCTATGATGCTTGCTGGTAAGTGACGTTTTTATCATTAGCAAGTTGCAAATATTGGGCCTTGAAATTGGGTCACTCTGGTTACTGTCCTGCTTTTTCCACTTGAACTCTAGCATTAATGATTTTCTGTAGTACATGCTTTCTGGTTTTAATTTTCCTATTTTTTTTCTCCCCTCCCCCCCCCAGTTTAGTGGTTTACTTGGAATACAGGATTTAATTCTAGTTTCTTTTGGAATGTCTGCTTTGGATTCAAAGGATAGCATTAAAAACTAGTAAAAGGTACAGCCGGGTACTGAAGGTGATTTTACAATTCAGAAAAGGAGTGACATGTATTGCAGCAGTATTCAGCCAGATACAAACCTCTTAGTTCTCAATGCGTGTTATTTCCACAGTATTTTCTTGCGTGAACAATTCCTGTCACCTTAACCTGACTTGATGCCTGGGTCTTTTAACTAGCGTAGCCATTTCTATCTAGTCTTTAGGGGTGAGTTGATGTAAGGATAGTAGTAGGTGTCCCAGGGACCACAGGTATCTTCTACTGCTGTAGCAGCCTGCTGCTTGTAGTACTGCTGCATCTGTTTTCTCGGTTCCTCCTTACTTTTGCCCAGTTCTGGTCAGTAAAAGTGCTTGTCATTAAAGACATTGTTTTCTTTTTTCTTAGGATTGGATATTAGTTAAATTACTTGAATTATTTTTCTTGTGTTTTCAGCCTGACAGTGGTTCCAGAAAACTATGAAAAAAACATTTCCATGTCCCAAAGTTTGGATCAGAGGTGTCTTTTGGACATCCATCCAAATGAGGAATAATAGCCACAGATGATTTTAATGTAGGTCAGGACCATTTCTGTGCTGACACCAGATATCAGTTATCTGGTCTCCCAGCATGCTAATCAGTCACCACAGTCAGCTAGAACTAATTTAGGAATGCTGAGCCCTGAAGCGTTTTCACAACATTGTGAACAAGAGAAATGATTATAATCAAAATTGACAATCTGGCATCGTATCTGAGCCGACACTGAAGGTTCCTGGGGAAATAAACATAATAGCTCTGGAATTGGCATCCTGCATGACAGATTTAAATAAATAAAAAAGGGGTGGAGATTAAAAGACATATTTATATAAACTTTCTTTATATAAACTTTCTTTGTTGGAAGTTTGAGGTATCTTTGAAGTTTTAGGTACTGAAGTAACTGTAATAAAAACAGAAGACTCCCTAACACTTCTAGAAAGGGACACAAACTATTACTAACTCCCTGCAAACCACCACCCCCCGCTTCCTCCAGCACATTTGCTGAAAGTTGAACTTGTCAGCATACAATGTTTCGTAGCATTCAAGCAGTACATGTTTGGAATTCAGTACTTGTACGCAACTCAAGCATGCATGTTTCTAGTGGCTGAAATGAAAAAACCAAAACAAACCCAGAAAAACTTTGAAAAGTCGAACAGGTCATAATATATTGACAATTTTTAAACTAGGAAAAAGAGACCAAAGTGAAGGTTAGCAGTGGGTTTATCAGGCAGGTGAACCTGCTATGTATGAAAGAACTATTAATACGGCATTCTGTCTCTCACAAATTGAGCAACCTGTCTGTGCGTAGGTAGATGCATACAGAGTAGAAGGGATATGTTTGCAGCCACGGTGTGATGGCACACTCTGTCTCCCTCCTGGATCCCACAGATCTCAGTCTTCAGACTTACAGAAGTAGTAGACTAAAGGAAACCCTGGAAGCCTGGCCGTTGCTGCTTGCATGGGGTTGCACATGGTTCTCTCATCCAGCCACCCAGTGCCTTCCCTAAGCCAAGACAGATGCAGCAGGAGGAAGACTTTGGGAGCAGCAGAAGTATCTTCTGTTTTATTCCTCCAGCTCTAGTTGTTTTGAGGCAGAATCCTAGATTGCTGTAGTGCAGTGTTATGGGGACACGTCTGCTGTTTAAATAGTGTAAAGGCACAGTAACAGCCCTACTGAGAAACACTAGGTCAGCATTTACCTGGCAGTGCCTCCTGTGTGCCTGCTAACTGGTTTCAGTGTAAGCTGGGTGAATCAATGCATTGTGCAGCACTTAGCACTTAAATTCCTCCCCACCCTCCCACCCTTCTCCTTCTGATAGCACTCATTACAGTTGGCTTTTTATCCCACTTTTGCCCTGGATGCCTTCATGACAAGTTTTGTGTCTAGGTGATGTGCTGTGATCTGAAATGAATTTGCAGCCTTTTTGGAGAAGACTGAAGTGATGTTTATGTTCTGTGCCTTAATTTCAATATCCTAGGTCCATCAGTTGCTTCAGGAGGGACGACTGGAATTTGTCATTGGAGGGCAAGTGATGCATGATGAAGCTGTGACACTAATTGATGATCAAATTTTACAGTTGACGGGTATGCAGATTTGCATTTGTATTTTTCATTGTTATGACCTTGGGGGGGTTGTTTGTTTTTCATTCCTCCACTCCAAGATTGCTATTATTTTATTTTTCTTTAAGAACTCATTAAAGCGTGTCTTATTTCTTACTTTCTGATTGGGTTATCTGTATAAAAATCTTTGCTTCACAAAAACCCAATTCAACAGTTCTGCAGTATGCAGAAGGGTTATTGAAAGCTGTTTTGCAGTTTAATTGATGTCGGTTATAAACTCCTTTGGAGCACAGCATTTTGTGTGTGTGTGTTTGAGACCTTAAGCTCCTGGGAAAATAGTTATGGTAAAATTGAGGATATGAAATACTCTGGAAGAAAATACCTGGTAGCAATTCAGAGTGTGAGGAGGTTGTATTGTTTAGGGACAGTCCTCTGCAGAATGTGGGCCACAGAATGTCACTGAGATCATCTGAACTTAGTTGAAAGACTTGCTTGATCAAGAAGCCCCCTTTTCGTGATCATGATCACCAGCCTCTGTAGAAATAGATGTATATTTCCAAGAGATGCACTACTTCCCATTTTAATCTTTGGGCTTCTGCTTGCAGCCATTTATGTTACACCTCTCATCGGATAGTCTAAAAAGTCTTTTAGTATTTAGATTGATCTCCATTTGGTTAATGAAGAAAGAAACAGGATAAATCATGCCACCACTGTGCTATAGATGCCTGTAATATGCCATGAGGGAATAGCATGGGGTGGGAGGGGATGTTTTAGCACCAGCTGTCTGTCATGGCTGATATACTTGTGCAAGGCATTCAACACTGTCC